TTAATTTTTAATTATAAATATATATATATATTTAATTAATTTAAAGAAAAATAAATAAATAAAAGAATTAAATGCAGCACTTTAGTTACTTTTAAAACCAACAGATGGCAGAACGAGTAACAAATGGCTTGTGTTTCGTAGCTAAAGTGAACTTCACCTGCCCGTTTCCTTATGGATTTTTTCCGGACCCGTACCAGTGTGACAAATACTACGAATGCCGAAAAGGGAAGCCGAAAATGCGCATGTGTGGAGATGGTTTACTATTCACGGCCAAGACACCACTGTACGAGAACTGCGACTACCCCTTTCATGTCAATTGCGGAAACAGGAAAGGAAGACGTCAGTATTTACTTTCCTTCCTAAATATAGTGACGATTTTATCATAGACAAGACCTAGGCCCTAGACGAGCTTGACCTCCCCTAGCAGGTCACGCTCTGTCTAGGGCCTAGGGCTTGTCTAAGGGGATCTTTTACGGCCTGTATCATATAATACACGATACTGAAATTGTAAAATCATAGATTTTTGTAGTTCGCAATACAGAAGAATTTTATTTACGGGGAGGATACCGAGTATTCATCGGCGCTTTTACTAGGGTGTCACGGGTTAGGAAGGCGATATATCGAGGTTTTATTGTGTTTATGCGTGTCCGAGGCCCCGAAAGGCTTTTAAATGGGGGGCCACGGACACGTGCCCAAAATCGCCCCTCTTAATAAACAACAATTTGCGTATTTAACAGATGAAAAACGTCGAATTTGCGTAGTTTTAAGTGTTAAATCCTTAAAATTCGTACGTAAATTACGCTAATCCTAACAATTGTAATATTCAAATTAGTCTTAAGGATCGTCTCGCGTGCGTTTAATTGTAATTAAATTATAAATGATTATTGGACGTATAATTAATTAATCATTTTACTTTTGTCTCGTGTAGAAGAACCGTACGAAACTCCTCATTGCCCTCATAAATTCGGTTTGTTTCCTCACGAGGATCCAAAAAATTGCAGTTATTTTTGGATGTGTGTGGACGGACAAGCTAAAAGTCTTACCTGTCAACCTGGTCTGGCATTTAATCCCAAAACTGGAACCTGTCAATGGCCTCATTTAGTTAAACGTTGCAGGATAACAAGGCACAGTAAGTAGTATATAAGTATACTATAAGGTGTATTTGTTTCGTCACAATATAGCTTGCAATTTCACGTCATTTTCTAACACTAAGTCCATTCGTTTTCTCATAATAATAATGTACACTTTTATGTCATTTTGATCATAATAGAAGCGTAAAAAGATCAAAGTGTACACCACTCTGAGAAAAACAGATGCAACTAGTGTCAGAAAATGACGTCAAGATGTACATTTAGAAAGGTGGGGGAGAGCTTCATCTTTGTGTATAGTATCCGGACAAATATTTAACACCAGGCTTGGTTTTTCAGTCTCGCATGGATTTCGCTGCCCCAAATACACCCCTGTACATCTACAGGTATATGCACAAGCCCCAAGATATCCTCACCCTACCGACTGTAATAAATATTTCGTTTGTCTCTATTCTTTCGAAGTGATGCTAAGGACGTGTCCGAAAGGCATGGTGTTTAATTCGGTGACGTCACAGTGCGACAAACCGAGTAACGTACCCGAATGGTAAGTGTAGCATTCTTCTATTCTTTCTCCTATAAACGTTTAATTAATCATTTTTTGTTTTGTTTTTAAATTCCAGTGTTGGTTTCTTTAAGAGAACTTCTCCGTACAAAGACATATTAAATAAGAAACTACCAACGTTATACTACATTTAAAAATAGTATTAAATAAGATTCGATAGTACTGTAGTACGTCAATTTGACGTCACACCTCACTAAAGATGACGTTAAAACGTACGGATCCTAAGTTAAATATTAGTACAGTATCGTGAATATTCTTATATATATAATTTATCATTCATTCTTGTAAATTTGAAGGAAGGTTTTTTAAGATATTAAAATCATTTATTCCACCAATAAAAAAAAACGAATGTTATGACGTTTTTTAAATAATAATATTGACAAATGTACGATCTCGAAACATCTGTTATAATCCCTGCTGCTCTTGTCTGCATGCATGGCGTTAGGAAGAAGGAAGGAAGTCTAATTAGTGAAGGTTTCCTGCAACGAATGTCAAGCAGGACAGCATCACATTTATCGTCCAGATAAGATTATTATTCTTTGAAAAAAAATAAATATATATATATATATATATATCTAGAAAACGATACAAAAACGAAAAATATAACGGGTTAAAACAACGCGAATTTTTATTGGACGAAAGATCCATCAAGTACAACGAGAAAACCAATCAATTAAGAAGAAGGTTCCGATCCGTATTTTGTAACTTTGGCTTTCTACAAATAGAACCTTTTTAAACGTTGGCATGAGAAGGCAACACATCGCCTTAATTGGTTTTGCTGGACCACACGCAGTCATAAAAGAACCGTTTGTTGCTAAATCTACCTTGACAAGCGAATGATTAATGTCGTCTGCTGCACCTGATCTAGTCTACAGCAACATTTCAGACACACGAATTACAAACTAGAGTCACTTTAAGTGTCTTTTTTTTTTTGTCCCTTTCTCTTCCCTTCTTTAGTAACGAGTATCTGGCGAACTTTCCTGATGTATTATCACCATTTTTTGGCAAGGCTCGCACAATCTTTCTACTTGTTGAGTGTTGCTGCTCTCCATGGTTTCTCGGTTTTGATTTCTTCTCCATTTCGCTCGAGCGTTCTGAAACCAAACCTGAAGAGTAAAAAAAAAACCAAATTGTTTTTTCTTTCTTTTATACACGTATTTACATCAATAAACACTTTATTTTTTTTCTAAATCCAAGATTTACCTGAAGTACCCTCTTTGAAAGTCCCGTTTTCTGTACTAATTGCTTCAGGTCCTTTGCATCCGGATTTTGATTAGAGGAAAAGTACGATTTCATGGTTTTCAATTGATGATTTTTAAATGTCGTCCTCCTCCTTTTGGCTTTCTGATTTCCTTCGTTTATTGGATTTAAAGAAGGTACTGGAGGCTGAATGGTATCTAAAGACACGTTATAATAGACAGATAACTTATGGTTAAAATCTTTCCTGATAAAGTTAACTGTATCCTTAGACTAATTATTTAATCCTTTATCTAGGCCTATATATATAATTCAAGGACATTTAATTTATCTATTTTAATCGCGCAAGGGTTATATAGGATCTATAAAAGGTTACAATTAAGTAATTTTTCTTTTTCTTTTCGTTTAGCGCTTGAAAAGTAACGTGCGGATGACTTAATATCCGTGCAATAATTAGAGAATCTATTTAAGTATTTTGCTTCGAATTTGCTCTATAATATGCAATTAAAATGCCACTTATTCCTTGCACGTTTTGGAGCATTTTCCGTTGCAATAATGCATTTTTTGCTTACGTATTCCTCGCATATTTTTGGGAGGAATTTGCGTGTTTTCGAAGCGAAACGGAGTGGAAAAAATGCAATATTGCATTACTTCTTTCTCTTTCCTTGCATACTTTCCAGCTAATTTGCGTTTATCCTTGTAAATTTTAGAGAAAAACAGGAAGAAGTTCCATCATTTGCATCCTTTCTCTCAAAGTTTTGGATCGAAATCGAGCTCATTTCTTTGGACCGTAGCGTGAAGAAAATGCAACATTGCATTCTTCCTTGCATTTTATTATCTTATTCGCTTTTAAAAGTATATAAAAATCTACTTCGAAAGCCTAAAATTTCATTCAATTTTACGCAATAAACACCGGATATAGAGCAGTTTGTGTTATATTGAATGCTGCAAACTCATAATTTACAAACTTATTCTTGCAAAAATTACAAATTGCATTTCTTGTAAATGTAATTTATCGTTATTTAACGGGATTTATTTCTTTTTTGCAACGAGAAAAAGAAAAAAGAAATGCAAAGAAAACTTTGGAAGAAGCGTGAAGGTCGCCATTGTTACAATGCCCCAGATTTCAAGTTATCTTTCTAATTTTGCTTCTATTTTTTTTTTTAAATTATTAAGCACAATAACCTACAAATTTAAAATACTAAACGTTATATTAATTATAATTATTACTTAAAGGATGGTGATGATGATGATGATGCTCCTATTTATATGACACAAGATGTTCATGTAATCATCTATTTCTTAGTTTATCCTATTGAAAAAAACAGATAATTTATCAAGAAATATGCCCCAAAATGCTAATTTCTTCACTTTTATTACAAGAAATATATATATATATATTAATTAGAATCAAGGCCTAAGAGGGTTATATATAAGCTAAGGCCTCTATAAGTTCAGGGCCGGCTGGAGGTTTTACGGGGTTTCGGGATGAGGCCCAAAAAATCCGATATCCGAGCCATCCCTGGATAAAGGGGCAAGTTGGAGGGAGCCTGGACAAGAAGGGCCATCAAAACTTTTATTCGTAACTCGATAGGGCCTTAGTTTTGTAAGATATATATAAAAAAAAACTACTTATAAAATGAAAGGCCTCATTCCTTTCAATACAACAAGTAGAATCTTCTAGTTATGTCGACTAGAATTAAAAGAAAATAATACATTAAAACAGCGTAAAAATCTACGTTTAATTTAAGTATAGGGCCTCTCAGAGAGCGAAGAGGCCCGGAGGTTTTGTTTTCTCTTTCGAAGGTTCCGTTATAAAAGAACGAATGGCCGTTAAAATATTTCTTAAATAAGTTTTCTTTTTAGTCGAGGCCCTCTTAAATGCGAGGCCCTAACCAAACGACTCTCCGGTTTCTCCGTGATTGGCGTATTTAAAACACAACGAAGAGAAATTATGCAAATTAGGTCTCCGAGACACACGCGAATGCCAATTCGCATTGTTAAACGAATGGCACGATACGATCCGTAGCGTGATTTATAGAAAGATACAAACTCCCTCCCCCTACTTAACTGACAAAATGTATTATAAAGGATATTAAAACTTAACACTTACCGTAATTATCACGCTCGATCTTCCTCAACGATTTGCACTTCTTAGAGGAGTTTGGATGGAGTGCCAACTTGTCATCTTTACTCGTCAATACAAAATGCCTGTGACAATAGACACCATTCTCTTTAAGTCCGAAATAATCTCCACGATTGAAGGAATTATTACACCAAAAACAGGTAAAGCACGATAAATGGAAGACAAGATGCTTTGCCCTCATAACCAATTCGTTAGCCAAGATGGCCGTCTGGCATCTGGCGCAAGTTTTGATTGATACAAATCTGGTAACCATAAGAAAATTGTATAACATGTATAGCCTATATATACTTATACAATGATTTAATTAAGACGTATAACACGAGAAAACGTACTTGTAATAATCATATCTGCAATAAATATTACCGTTCTTGGAGAAACACGTGGTTTGAGATTCGAGTTTTTGATGGCAAAGGGAACATTTAAGGCATTGTATGTGCCATTCCCTATCTACGGCCAAAAGATAGTATCGATCCTTAATTAATACACCGCAACCGGCGCATTTTGTACCCTCTTTCGATACCATTACTTTACCCTAAACTGAGATACATCGTGTGCCTTTAAGGCGGGAAAATGCGTTACGTTTGTACCCGCCTCCTCTCGTTGCTTCGACCAACGGGACCCATTTTCTACTCTTAGCAACACGCATGGCTCGACTGGATTCTTTATTGATCCATCCGTGTGTGTGTCTATCTACATCGTGTACTTCCCTTATTTTAATTTCGTGTCTTGGAATCCAATAGGTGAAGGTGGAATTACACGCCGTATGATCTACACGTAAGGAAGAACGCTATATATATGATAGTTAGGGGGGAATTTTATAGAAATTTTCGATATTTTAGAGTATAATTTATATAAATTTTACGCGTGGATGAAGTGAGAGGTTCTATTGCTTCACTTTGCATAAGGGATCATTAATTTATTCATTAAATTATTACTACTTACGAGGATTAAAGTGACTAATATACACGTGTTTTTTATGTATAATTCACAGTAATGTGAATTCCCGTATTGTCTAAAATCGTATAAAGTAAACTAGAAATTATAATTTCTAATTCCCGTGCTTTAATTTGTATTATTTTATACCTTAAAGTCGTAAATTATTAATAAATATTGCTCTGTTAAACCCAGACAGAAGGGCAATATCTCCTCTCTCATTCCATGTCTAAGCATATAAAACGAGCGAATAGAAACAGAATTTAGGGCCTTTTTTTAGAGGCCCCATACGTCTTCCATCTTCTTCTTCCCTTATTCCTGTATACAGTACTAAAATTACAGTAAAATCCATGCAAAATTAGCATACAAGTCGACCCCCTATAACACTGTTGATAATTCCGTTTTATATGAATTCCATGTTGTACGAGTCACTTAGATTTTACAAATACGTGAGCCGTTCACATCCTGGCACACGTATTTGTAAAATCTAAGTGACTCGTACAACATGGAATTCATATAAAACAGAATAATCAACAGTGTTATAGGAGGGTCGACTGGTATTCTCTACGCCTTTCTACAAGTTTTTGCACCAAAAAATCCGCTGTGAAAGGTAATTTAATCAGTTTAATTAATGGATAAGTTGCTAAATTGTTGGAGGAACGTTTAAATTTCACGTTTCTTAATAAAATTAAGAGATTGGAGACAAAGAAATCTTTATCAGAGAACATATTTATTCATGATGATATGTAACAGAAGACAACATTCAAAGCATGTTGGCCAAACTTTGAAAATTTTGTTCTACTTGCGTTATGGGTGTCGGTTGCACCTCTAAAAGTTCCGTAGTAGACAACAAAGGGGTACAGTGACGTTCCTGAGACGTCATCTCCACTAAAGGTTTAGAATCCTGAACGATTTCAGGTCCTAGTGTTTGCTGTCTCAATAGATTTCTTCTCCATTTAGCTCGGGCATTTTGGAACCAAACCTGAATAAAATATTAAAAATATAGAAGAGGAATAGAATTATATATGTTACAACACATATAAATTCGATACAAGACGATTTACCTGAAGGACTCTCTTAGATAAACCTGTCTTCTGAGATAATTGCTTCAAGTCTTTGGCATCAGGATTATGATTTATGGAAAAATAAGACTTCATGGTACGTATTTGATTGTGTTTAAATGAGGTTCTTAACCGTTTCGGACGAGACATCTGATGATGACCTGTCGATATATTAACATTTGGCAATTGAATGATACCATTGTCTTGGTTCTCGTCGCGGGTCGAACCTGAATAAAGGTTAGCAATGTTGTATTTAAATCGAAAAATAATTTGATTTAATTGAATAAATTAGTACTAAAATTCACCACTGTGGCACTTCTGGCGTTTGGGTGGTTTATCCGGAACGTTCTGTAAAGATGTTAACACAATGCAAAGGAGAAAAAGAATCAAAGAGGATTGATTAACCATCGATTAATACATCGTTCGTCATGAAGAATGGGCCCCTTTGAACAGTATCCTCTGTATTGCTAAGGTTTCTAGTAGGCCTACAAATTGCTTACAGCGCCAAAAGTGCCATTGTGGTGTGTCTTCCGCATGTCTTGAAGTGCCACCATATTGCATCTGGACTGCTAAATAAGGGTATATATATATCTAGACATCATTAAATAGGGGTACTTTAATTATAATTACTCTATATAACGCTTACTAACTTACTAAGACTTAACTTATCATCGATTCCATGCGAGGTACATTCCTTTATACCATAAATTACTGCTTAAATATGCAGTTTACATCACATTCGAATCTAATTAACTTTATCGTCTTTAACTCGAAAGTGCAGCGCCATTTTTACCCTATATACAATCCCTATATTTTTAAATATCTAATTATTTACATTCTGTTAACATAAGCTACAGCTTTATGCCTCTTTCTGTAAGGATACAGCATATATATACCGTAGGGCCACGCGATCTGCAAAGGGGGAAGGCCTCTCGGGAGCACCTATTTACGTATTACTAACGTGAAGAAAACCCGTGCAACCGGTATTCCGCGGTGTTATCCACTACAGCGTAGGGCCTTATCCTTTTAAGGCCTCGTATATAGAGGATGAAAGACTTTAACAATTTTAAATCTACATAAATTAGACTTTTATGCGTATATTAAGTATACTTAAAGGATGAAAAACGTGTTAATTATTCAATTGGAAGTGTTTTCTTTCCGTTGAATTTATAGAAAGTAGCTCAACGAGGTCGTTAGGAATTAATTTAGTGTCTAATTTTATATCCTGTTAGAGACATTTTATCGTCAAGTGTAACACACAAACTGGCAATGAATCAGTTCACTTGTCAGCAGAGAAGAGTAACAGCTGAGTAACTTTCTTTATCAACTAGACATAGCCAGGATATAAACTAGCTTATAAATCTCACTTAAATAACACGACAACCATCTTAACTACACCTTGATTAAATGGCTTTTGGGGGGGTGGGCCACTCTCTATATCCCTATTTACGTAAAACATTCACTTGTCAGTAGTAAAATACTGTAAATATTTTGTATATAATGCAAAAGGGCCCCAAAACATAGAATTTTGGGGCCTTCTAAGTAAAATAAGACACGATATATGATTAAAAAAGAATCGTTATTGTTTGTTCTATTAGTTTTATTGGTGTATTTTAATGGAAGAGAAGTTTAGGGCCTTCACTCGACTGATCAGGGCCCCCATCACATTTTTCTCAAGTAAATCAATAGAACAAATAAAAAGATTTTTTCGCCATTTGTCTTGACTTTATAGGCGAATGTATTTGAGGCCCCACACAGCAAGAGGCCCTATATATATATATATATATATAAACGAGAAGAATTGCTTTCTGTTTTATTGATTTTTTTTTATTGCTCATTGTTTAGGGCCCTCTGAGATCCCAAAAATGATTAACAGTTTCTATTTAAAATTCAAAATTACCATAATAAAGACTATAAGACTGCATAGGCCCCAGTTAACTCGGCCCCATTTTGTCAAGAAGGAAGGTAAAAGGCCGGGGAACAAAATATACAGCCATACATTAAACTATCAATATAAAATATCGGAAATGGATAACACAATATCAGTATTTAGGGCCTGAAGAGGCCAGAAATTCACAGGAAGGCCTTTATTTCCGCGTCTGCATAGGGCCTAAAATGTTGGTAGGCCTACTACTGCAGTCTAGGCTACAGTAGTACAATATCCTATATTAGCATACACAACTAGTGTCATTCCATACAAAGTATACACTATAATACGGTAGCGATTGTATTATACATTACATAATGCTACTGTATTGTATAATACTATACAGTACAATACAGTAGTACTAATAAGTAACTAGCACAGTATATATAAGGATAAATACAGGCCTACTAGTATATACTACTATAATATAATAACATACAGTAGTAGTGTTGTACAGTACAGTATTCCCTCGATATAGCGAACCAGAACTCATTCACTGTATCGAAAATTCATTATTTACATAAAGAATAACAAGAACGAATAAACTTTATTCATTGTATCGGGTATTCGCTATATCGAGGGTTCATTTTAGTGCAGAAATATATTATATAGAGTAGCGTAACGTGTCAGTAAGAGCTACTATCACGTAATACACGGTATAGACGAGGTATTTCCCTAATTCGAATTAACATATACAAGGAGAAAGGAGCGTTAAACGAACTTCGATTTAACGCCAATAAACACACGCAATAGCGAGGTCCACACACCAAAAAAAAAAAAAAAAAAAAGCGAAAGACCAGCATACAACCGTCCTTAAATCGAAGCGAGAATATAATATTTCACCCCCCAAACTACGCAAGTTTAATTAACGTTATACGCGGATAAAACACTTAAAAGAATAACAATAAACAATAAGGGAGAGAGAGAATATAAAGAAATTTACGTATGTATAATTTCGCTAGAACATAATGAATTTTAGAAAAATAAAAGAGGAAGAAGAAGAAGAAGAAGAAGAGGAGGAAGAAGGAAAAAAAAAAAAAAAATCATCATCAACAGCGATAGTTGTATCGAGTTACAAAACATCTAATTATGTGAGAATGACCAAATAGATAATCCTTTGGCGGTACTGACATAATCTGGACCGATCCGATTATGCATGATCACAGTTGTGTCGAGAGAATTAATTTTTATTGGAAGGACAGGAGCACTGATAATCCCCACATCTGAGTTCCCGCTGTAATTGGCTCTCTTGATCTTCGGCCACGTCATTACATGTGACACGAGAAAGACGTAAGCCGATCGGCTCCCTACCAATTCTCGTCCTAGCCAATCCTCTACCGACTTGTCTATCACGGCAGGCAGTAAACAACAGTTTTCCGTGTCTCCTTCTCTACCAAATTAAATTCTATCGTTTCGGCTTCAACTAATAAAGGAGGCATCTTTATTCACGTTTGTTTTTCGCCAAAATCTTTGTAAGGAGATTGACTTTTTTCCCTCTCTTTCCTCTCCTCTATCCTCTCTTTCCACCCCTTGGCAGTAGCATCAGCAGCAGCAGCAGCAGCGTATGTGTTTATGTATATAACGTAGAAGGAGGAGGAGGAGGAGGAAGAAGAAGAGGAGGAGGATGGGGGGGAAAAATCAAAAACCTAGAATTTACTAGAAGGGATGGGGGGAAGAGAAGAAAATTCAATCATATCTCACCTGTATCCGTCCGTTCGTTGGAAGATTTATCTGGCAATCTGACTGGAAAATAACACAGAACTTCACACTTCGGTTTCTTTAGTGGTTTGACACTTTCTAGTCCACCCCCCGTAGGGAATTCGTATTGCATCAGCAATTCGTAATGAAGCCTGCAATATATAATTTCGTTCCTCAAACCGAAGTATTCTCCCTTGGCTAGTGTCTTGTTACACGTGGCGCATGTAAAACAATGGAGATGATAGACGTATTCGCGTGCCCTCATAACTAATTCTGTTGCAGATATTGTCAGATGGCATCTGGCACAATTTTTCGAGGCGAATAACCTATCGAAAATGGAATTTTTCTTGTTAATAAACACTTGTTTTATCAACACCCCCCCTTCCTCCAAGTGTTTGACTTACTTGTAGTAGTCGACTTTACAATAGATATTGCCGTTTCTAGAGAAACAAGACGTTTGAGAATCCAATTGTTCCTTACACAGGGAACACTTGAGGCATTGCATGTGCCATTCTCTATCCACTGCTAACAAGTAATAACGATCGGTAATTCGAACATCACAAGCAGCACAAGTTACAGCCATTGATTTAATTGACGTCACGTAGAAATACCCATTGTATTGTTAAACGTATTGTCTTTAAAATACAAAAATAAATAAATAAATAAGTAAATAACACTATTTATTTTTTTTTAAATAGAAGAATTAAAATCTACGCGACATCTTCCTCGATCTTTTTGTGTTTTTTTAACACGTAAAAACGCTGATTTTTAAGCTTAAAAATCAGCGTTTTTACGTGTTAAAAAAACACTTTAAACCACTTTTAAAGATATTAAATGAAGTAAAAAAATAAAAGAAGATGGGAGTGAAGATATAAATGATTTTTTTATGAATTAATTAAATATTTTTTTAATGTCTTTTAAGAGGTTAAAAAGAACAATATAAGTCGTTACAGGACACTTTTTTCGTGTGCTGTTAACGTTTATTTTAAAAAATCTACGGCTTAAATTATTGTTTTTCATTGTTATTTTTTTAAATAATCAATAAAATCTATAAAATTTTTACGAGTTTAAACGTGATTTTAGAATTTAAAAAAAGCATCATCTTAAATGAGGAAGATGTAGAGGAAGAGGGAAAAAGAGATTCTCCTCTTATAATCCTTCTCATCTTTAGAACAAAATATGAAGATAACCGAGGAAGATGAAGAGGAAAAGACATTGTAATGTTATTATTAGTCTCGGTTGAGTAATTTTTCATCATTAAAGTGGTATAAATGTTATTAAACGAGAGGAAAAAAAAAACACTTCATATAATATCAAACACAACAAATCTTATTAAGGATAATTAAAATTCTTAAAGTCACTTACTTTAAAGAATGGTGTCGAAGCAGAAGCTGCTCTTTTAATAAAGTCCACCCATGACGATTTGGTCTTCGATTCTCCATCGAAGAGTCAACCTTTCGTTCACGTGACGGTTGAAAACCAATAGGAAGAGAGGTAAGGAGCCAATGGAGGAGCCAAAGGAACCGATGCAGAGGAATCTCATTTAACCCCTCATGGATTTCTATAAGTAAATATTTAAAAGTAATTCGTAAGATAGAAGATGTTATTCACTTGTATAATTCTCTTCTTTTGTAAAGAGTTTTTTTTTGAGATTAAATCTGTTGTCGTTTCAATGGGAAATGGTTCCCTTCCTTCCCCCCTTTATTTTTTTTTAATTGCTGCCATTTGGTCCTTTCAATAATAGCGACAATTAAACAAAAGAAAAGTCCTCCTCATTGATAGGGGAGGACATCTCTGTGACGTTTTTTAAATGATACAGAGTCGAGTTGTATGACGAAAAGAATGTCATTCGCGGGGTCCTTTCAATGACTTCTGAAGGAAAACTACTGATTTGTTTAGACAATAGACATTTGTTTTGAAGTGTTAAAACGAGAATCACTTTTTATATACGAAGATAAAAGAGAAATTAAGAATAAATTTCTCTTTTCTCTTCAACAAATTTAATAGTTTCAATGGAAATTGTAGCATTACAATGGGAATTTTTAATTGTTGCGCGTCAATCAAATTACATAACCCTCTATCAGGACGAATTTCTAGATTTCTAGCAACTTATAAGGGTTATAAGACAAGAAAATAAAGTACATTTGTACTGTGCATCTTCTCATCAATAGAGCGTTATACCTTCGTGGGGCTCAGACGAATTTTTAATTCGGGGGCCCCACGTATAATGTTGTGTGAAAGGGCCCTTTATTGGTGGGCCCTTTATTGTTGTTTGGGGCCCTTTATTGGCGGGGATCCCACAAAATTGCTTCCTTTTTCTTTACTATAGGATATCGCTCCACTACTTCTCATTCATCTTTCCGAATTTGAAAGAGGGGGACGTTACGACTTTAGAAATGCAATTATTTAAAAGTCTTTATTGTTTTTGATTTAAAAGGTTTAATTTTAATTTAATTTGAATTTAGATCCGTGTTTATATGTTATAAACACAATAATATACTCCGTCTTCATCCCATTATCCTCGAGAGAATACGATCTCTTTTCCTTCGGAATTGAACATGAAAATGGAGGATTAAAGGAGAATAGAATAGGATTCGACTTCTCGTCCTTTCCCTTCAGAACAAAGGATGAAAGTAGAGGAAAAGAATGAAGAGAAAAATTAATGAGGTTGTCCTTCTTCCTCATCCTTCTCCTTTAGAACGAATGATAAATGTAGAGGAGAATAATGAAGAGGAAGAGAATGACATCCTTCTTTTTCTCATTTTTTTCCTCCTCCAAATAAATAACGAAGATAAGAGAGAAGGTAATGAGATTTTTCTCCATTTTTTCTTTTATTGTTTTATTATTGAGACATAGGAACAAATCGAAGGAAAAGGAAGAAGAAGAAGAAGAAGAAGAAAACTTCTATTCTTCTCCTTTTCGTCAAAACGAAGAGGAAGAAAAAGAAATCATCATCCACATCCTTCCTCCTCATCCTTCTCTTCTTCAAGCGATTACAATCGACTTTTATAACCCACATACCTCATGTTAAATATATAACAATTTAATATACCAGTCGACCCCCTCTATAACACTGTTGATAATTCCGTTTTATATGAATTCCATGTTGTACGAGTCACTTAGATTTTACAAATACGTCAGCCGTTCACAGTCCGACACACGTATTTGTAAAATCTAAGTGACTCGTACAACATGGAATTCATATAAAACGGAATTATCAACAGTGTTATAGGGGNATTTTTTAAGCGAAAAATATTAAAATTACACGCCATTTAAGACATAGAAGTAACGTCTTAAAGGGGAGAAAATTAAGAAGAAGAAGAAGAAGAAGAGGAAGAAGAAGAAGAAGGGGGGAGGAAGAAAAAAGAGAGAAAAATTTACAGATTAATTTTAATAAATGATTTTTATAAAAATATTCTTTTTAATTATTTTTAATTAATCGAAATAATCCTTAACTTGTTTATTTTTAATAACTTAAAAGAGGAATTTTTGATAGAATTAGAAGAAGGAAAAAAAAAAAAAATAAAGAAATATCTGATGATATTTTTTCTTTTTTTCTTCTAATTCTATCAAATTTTCTATCGCTTCAATTTAATAATTACTTTAATTATTGTTCTTAATATTTTAGCCAGTGTCTTCTTTCGTTTTAATAATAAAATGATGCTTTAATCCTTTGAATTTTTCTCATTTTTTAAAAAAAATAATATGAATTAATAAGAAATAAATTAAATTTCTATATATAAGTAATTTTTAATTATTATTTAAATTTTTTTAATATAATAAATAGCTGCTGAATCCATATATTATTATAAAAAAATTTTTAATAGTTTTTCATAATTTTAATGGTTTTTTAGATAGTTTGATAATATTTAAGTTTATTTCTAATTAAAAAAAAATTTTTTTTAATTTATTTTAGTGATGATAGTGTTTTTTGATATGTTAGTACGTGCTGCCATCTGTTATGTTAAATGTGAATTATCATTATCGATGATTATTTATTAAAATTAAGAAGATAGTAATGATTTTTTTTTTCTTATATTAGATAGATATTTTGAATAGTTATTTGTAATTTTTTTTTATTTATTAAATAATTTATTAATTCTACCTGAAATAATTTATATATTTAACTATAAGAATATTTATAGTTTTTCATAGTTTTAATTGATTTACAGATACTTTAATGACGTTTAAGTTTATTTATAATTTAGAAATAATTTTTTAAACTATTTTTATTTACTTATTTCGGTGATGATAATGATATTTGATATTTTAATACGTGCTGCCATCTGTTATGTCAAATATGAACAATTGTGTGAATTATCATTATCGATGCTTGTTTATTAAAATTGGGAAGAAACAAATTAACTTTCTCTGTATTAAATACAGAAATTTTAAATTATTTTTAATTAAAAATTTATTTATTTATTTATTTTGTTACTATTATTATTATTTGATATGTAAGTGCGTGCTGCCATCTATCGTATTAAGTTTGAATGAATTGTTAGTTATTAAAATTACACGCTACGTAAAAATTTATCTGTAGCTATAAATGTTCTAAATTAATAATATATTTATTGAAAATTACTGAAAATTTGTCGTTGAGAAGAAATTTAAATAGATTTTGCTCCTTATTTGTTTTAGCATTTGGTATTAAATTAATTAAGAAACGAATGACTTTAGTGACATCTGACGAGCAAATTACGAAATACTTTTATTTACCAGCTGTGTAAAGTTATATTTCACAAATTTTAGTGATTCTATACAAAAACCGCTAAAATAATTAAGAGTTTCTATTAATTTTTGATTTTATTGAAGCTCGAGATCAAAGGCTCCCGAGATCACCTACCGCGGATTTTCCAAAGATTGGCCATAAAATCATGGTTGCATGTATGGGTGCAGATCTCTGTCATCCTTATAGTGACTTTAATCTATGCCGTAATAAGAGAAACCATGTCTCCCCTTAGAGAAAGCATGCCTCCCTTATAAATGTATCTGTGTACGTCTTTTTTACATATATAAGGGAAAATTCGCACAAAATTAATTAATCCCTTTGATCCGACGATGACACTTGGGCACTGTACCATCAGAGAGTGTGATTCTCAATGGATGAATGTGAGGAGGTTAAACCACCAAAATCTTAGATATTGCATTCATAAATAACAAATTTTTTTCAACTCGTCCCGCCCTGTGGGCACTAAGAGGGCCTCTTTTAGCAAGTCCATTATGGGTTCGGCCAGATCCACAATGGGGCGACCGGATGGTGAGAGACGGGGCCCGACATATCTGGACGAAACCCCCCGGATTCGATCCCCAGAGCGGTAGGCCGCCACCTTGACCGCTCGGCCATCCGTCCTCTATGACACAAATAATTGATAATAAACAATATTCTGTTTGGTTTATTAAAATTTTTCACATCTTATCAGAAAACACTTTACACATACAAAATTAATATTTACTCAAGCCTATATTTAAATAGATATAGAAAAATTAATCACCATTATTTTACGAAAAGATAAACATCTTAACATTTTTATATTTATTAATACATATTTTAACTATATAATTATTAATTTATGTATTATAAGATAATTTATTTTGCGAAAATATTTATTCTCTTCAATAATGTCTATGGCAACGACCAGTCGGAAGTCGGCTTTCGGAGGAGTGGACGGACTTTGAAACTTAAAATGACTTAAAAAAAACGTCACGGATGTAAATATACTTTAAAAACTTTTTTTTAACGCCAATAATATTAAGAAAATTAGAAAATCCAAGGAAAATATGGAATCGCGGCTAAGGTAATCTCTCTCTATGTTCAATTTATGTAGTGTAATGCACGTTAAGGTACTATCAAGCTGTACAGATGTTTCTTTTTAATCAATTACATGTAAGCATGTCGATTACGGTGCGGTTATCTCCATTGAATTTAATGTAAAATCCCGTTGCAAAATTAATCAATTTTTAACATCTTACTGAGATTATAACCTGAAACAGATGGTAAGTTTTCTGTAAACTGGTTGTGGATGCGAAATTTTATTTTCTGGGAGCTATATCCCGCCAATGGTCACGTGCAGACACCATCGGTTCTGATCTTGTTACTTCTATGGGCATGGTCTACGGCTCTGATGAGGTCTGGACCTCACCGTTTGGAGCTTTGTTAGTAACCGGTTGTAGCGGCCGGATGGCCAAGCAATCAAGGTGGCAGCCTACTGCTCTGGAGGACCCGGGTTCGAATCTGAATGGGGCGAAAAATCTCCAGGAATTTTTCGGGGGGTGGTCCGTTCGGATATGTCGGGCCCCGTCCCTCACCATCCGGCAGCCCCATTGTGAGCCTGGCCAAACCCATAATGTGCTTGCAAAAGAGGCCCTCTTAGTGCCCACAGGGTGGAAAGAGTTAAAAAAAAAAAAAAAAAAAGTAACCAGTTGTATGTAATTTACCTAAATGTATTTTTTACTTTATTTCTTTAATTTGTTTTGACCTTTTTTTTTTTATTCTTATTCTTAACGATTCTTCGATCGTTTCGACAATTATAATTTGTGGAACGTTTTTACTTGCTCTCCAGGAGGGGACGGGCGTTTTGTTTGCCTCCGGTGCGGACGCCCGTGGGTTCGTCTTTGGCTCAGACAAGTGGCGGTGCGTTGTGGTTTTGTGAGACTCGGGCAAATTTGAATTGGGGCCCCGCGTATGATGTCGACTTCGGACATTTTTCTTCGAGAGAAATACTTTCGTATAAAAGACCGGTTCGGTTCTCCCTGTTTTGTGGGCCTTCGACAATTGCCCTTTTTTTTTGTGGGATAATGTGCCGCCGTCGATAAGGTTCCGACGGCATCGTTCGGAATTGCACTTGTATTCAATAGAGGATTGTATATAATTTACCTAAAAGTGCTTTTTACCCAGATTTCTTATGAAATTTAATTTGCTTTATGTTCAATATAATAGCTTTCAAAATGTTAACAGTATGTGTCAAACATCCACATATATGTGAATGCATAAATAGGAATACTGTGGATATAAACAAACTTCTACCCACCCATTTATGCATGTATAAATGGGTGGGTAGAAGTTAGTTTTAGATAATTGATTTATATATAATACAAGTATATAAATAAATGACCTAAAAGTAATTTCTACCCACCTATATCTATATTACTGTAAATTGTAAAATATATTTATTGATATTTCCTGTAATAATTGGAAAATATAAAAAGAAGGAAATATACTTTATACAATAATAAATTATATTTTATTGTACTTTATAATAATTTTTTTCTTTTGATAATAGTAATAACATTTCTGAAATTTTTTAATAATATGTGATGATGTTATACTGCTAGAAAGTAATGTAATCTATGTATTTTTTTTTTTAAAACAATACTTTTTCTTATTACAGAAAAATAACATTTTAAAAATTTTCTGATAATGAATAAGTTAACTTTAAAGCTATTCTGTTCCATTTTATTAAACTAGATATATGTCTTTTAGATGAGTCAGTTGTGAATATCCGTTATTTTGTTAAGTGTTTTCAAGAAAATAAATTCTTGTGAATATGTGAAAGTTAATTCTGTTCTGTAGGCAAGAATTTTTTACTAGAATGTCATTTTTATTATATTTTTTGGAAATTAAAGACTTAGTTTTTCATATTCTAACCGATTATTTAGTAATTACCAAGTTTGTGCTTTATACATTGCTTATTACTCAGATATTTTCTATATTGGATGGCTGAAGCAGTAAAAGACCTTCCTGCCAGTTTGAGAGTTTCAAGTTTGAATTTGAGTTGACTTAAATTTTTATGGATGCTTCACCAGATATATTAGGCTTTATTTCTTACCATCCAGTTGTCTAAATTGCAGATTTTTCCAAGGCAATATTAAGCACTTTTGAGACATTTGATCCAATTTATTTAGAGGTATTGTGTACAGTAGATATAGATAAGTTATAGATACAGGGCAAAAATATAAGTAGCAAGCAGTAAGATGAGACCCAAAAAGGCAAGGCCTCAACCGCGACCAAGTTTACCCATATGTTAATGTGACTTTTATTTTTATTTTTTTAATATTTAGATCAGCGCTGTCCAACTTATCATAGCCCGCGGGCCATATTTTCTTCACCAAACATTTCGGGGGCCAAGAAGGTTGGTGATGGCTAATTGGTCGGCTGGGAATCACGCCACATGACATTTGCATAGTGCTACGGTTCAATAAGCACTAATTGGTCAGCGAGTCCGATGTTGACGCTATAAAAAGGCGACAGTTCGACACACCGGATATACGTCACTCTCGTCTAAGTTCGACTTGGGAATTTTTTTGTTCAATAATAAATGTGAATTCTTATTCCTGGAAAAAATAAGACCTAGCGCATTTTTCAGAGCAAAAATTAATATAAGACACTGTCTTATTTTCGGGTAAACACGGTAGTAAAATAATTTTAATATTAATAATAATAATTTAGTAACATAAATTTATTCATAGTAAAATGTACTCGCGGGCCGTAAAAATTATTTGGCGGGCCGTATACGGCCCGCGGGCCGCCAGTTGGACAGCGCTGATTTAGATTATTGAAATAATATTGTGAATTTCATATTTTATTAAAACTATTTCTCTGTGGAAACATATTGTAGGTCTTAATTATATGTTGTGGAGTCCTGAAATACTTATTCTGCACCTCAGAAATCAATGCATAACGGACAAAACATCTATCTATTTAATAATGAGTTGTAGTATTCAATTTTTTATGATAATATCCATTTTGAATACTTGTTCCTTATCAATTTTCATTTATCAAGTGCTGAAAATTTTATTACAAATATTAAATTAATTTATTTTGAAATTAAGAGAATTACAATAGTTCTAATCTATCTGATCATAGTTTGATCTAAGAACAAATAGTATAATAAGTGCTGGAAGAAATCTTACTTTGAAAGGCATACTTTGATATAGGTTTAAAGTAAGCAATACTAAAATCCATTGTGTTTGTTATAGTGGATTTTGTACTTGATAGGCTGAGATCCAAAAGTACTGTTAATTAGATTGTTTTTGGTGTCTAAGAAAACGAAAAAGTATACATGTTAAGGTCATTTTATGGATAAATTTATTAACTTGTTAACACATCTTATGGCTTTATCCAATAATAATATTGTGTCAGTTTATATCAAGCAATATTTGGCTGTAATCAGTACTAATTCATTTATAGTTTACTCAAATATGCATACTTAGAATTTGTTAAGTGATTGGATGATTTTATAGTGATTACATAGGGATGTATCCTAAGATAACTAACTGGAATTTACATAATTTCAGATTGCATTTAATTTGAATCAGGAAATATGGTCTGATTTTCAAAGTATTAATTTATTTTGTTTGATTATTGAAGTTTTTAACACTAATAACTTTAATAATTAGAACCTTGATTTAGATTTGATTAATTTGATTTAAAAGGATGATTTTATAAATTCGTCGTACATCGTCATAATTTTTATTCTGAAATTAGGATGCATTACACAAACTGTTATTATAATGACTTATTTAAGAAGGATAATAACTGTTTTCAGGTTACACAGCTTGCAAAAATGGAACATTCTTTCAAGCTGTATAGTATTTATGCTAATTTTTTAAGTGATTCACTTTTTGAAAAACCACAAATATTTATTTGATTAAAACTTTGCTGGTTTATGAAGACAGTTACTTTAATTGAATTTAGATTATTATTTATGCAAAAAAAAAAATAAACTAAACTAAAAATATTTATTACGAAACAGTCTTGGCTTTGGATCAATCATAAATGATGATATGTGGTTTTTGATGAATTTTAACACTCCTCCCTTGTCATGTGTCACATTTTTCTCAAACTCCCTTTAAAATCATGTCACATCAGTCACAACCCCCTCTTTTTTTTAAAAAAGTACAACAATCAGAAGTAGAATTTAGTTTAAGAAATTTTATTTACAAAGTAAATATCAAATAGCTTATTCTAAAATTTTTTTCACTTCCATGCACTAGTTAAGTGTTCTGCTATTAATACTATACCAAGAGGTGGTACTTCAGTTTCTGTATCAGCACTTTCAGAGAGATTTTCCATGTCAATAAATTCTTTGTCAATCCGTTTGATATCTTTCACAGAGTCTTGCACAATCTTCACCATGAACTCCTCTGCCTTGTTGAAATGGTAGCAAGTCCAAAGAAAATTATGAAATAAGATATTTTATGTACAACTCATCGTGCTGATCAAATTTTCTCCAATACAGTTTTGGCATTTTTATTCCCAAGCAAATGCCCATAGTCTCTATAGGAGTTTTACAATATCGTTATTGAGAGTTGCAGAATAAAAGAGCAATGCACATATGATTTTATTATGCAAGATCCACCAATAACTTAAAATGTGTATTTAGTAAACAGTGACATCACACTACGCTAAACCCCTCCCCCTGTCTCGTCACAAATTGTCATGTTTCTTAAACTCCCTATCCCCCTTGGGGTGTGACATTGTTTACGGACAGCCTCCCATTTCAGGCCATTTTCAACAAAAATTAAATCAAGTATGAAACAGAATTAATAAAGAACATTTTAATAATAACATTGTGGATTTTGGATTTATAGAATAAGAATTAAACATAAAATCTAACAACAATATCTATTTCTGAATTTAAAACTATAACAAGTAAAATAGCGAAGCCATTCTTGGGATGAGACTATGTCTCGGAGAGTGCAAGCAATGCATGCACAAATCTCGAACTCGCGCCTGTTCGTAGAAACAGTCTCAGCATTTTGTATTTTATTTTGACCCGGTTCTCGGCCCCCGACTACTTACAAGTCTGGTTTATTTTATGTGTGCATGATTTGGGCACCAAATACAGTAGATCCCCCTATAAAACCGTTTCCTATAGTTATGATTCCTATAAAAATTGTGGCAGTATCCATAAACAACGGTAAAAATAACTCCTATAATACGTAAAACGTCATCGGGCAGCCGAACTACTTTCCCGCCGTCCGTAGCGTGGCGCTACGGACGTTTAGGCGGATAAATTGAGTTTAGTATCGTCTGTTCATATAATTATATATAAATTAGGTACTGTACATATAATTATATATTAATTATATATAAATTAGGTACTGTATATATAATTATATATTAACTTAATTTATTGTAACTTTATTATAATTAAATATATATTTTTCGCCGTCTAGCGTCACGCTACGGCGAGTTAGGCGACCTATCGTCTGTTTAGTACTGTAATTTTATACATTTCTTGTGAAAGAAACATTTCTTATTTAACGGCCATAAAAATTATTTATATTAATGATGTCTCCAAAGGTCAACGAAGTTTTCGCAGAAAAATAATATCAGAAATCGCGGCCGCAATTTGATGCGCTGTTCCGCGACGAAACCAAGCTTTAGCAACGGGCGTAGTCGAACGGTACACACTCGGTAAGCAATCCTACAATTTTTTGTTTATAACGTAGTTTATACGGATTATTTTCAAAAAAATATACGTATTTTGGAAATGTTGAGTCGAATTAGTCTAGAATCGATTAATTTTATGAAAGAAAACCTTTCAAACAGCCGTAGTCCGTAAACTATGATTCCTACAAAATTGATTCATAAAGAACGGAACGTATCTACCGTCTTATAGGGGGATCTACTGCACTCTATGCCAAATTGCACCTCCTGATATATACTCTTTCATGCCTCTAAGGTGTGCAGCCATTGACAGCAGCATGATTTTAGAGATGAGACTTAGTTGTGTCAAAAATATATAATTAATTTAATTTTCTGAGTATATTATAACCCATTGGTTGTATGTGTTTTAAAGCCAGTTTGAAAGTAGATATAGGTTATGTATTCTAACAGTTTTTGCAGGTTATATGCAGGAAATTACAGTTATAATAATAGAAAATGAATTATGATGATGTTGATAATGATAAATAATTTATACTACAAAAAATAAATAAAAATTGCAGGTTACTGATATACTGGAATGTCTGAAGTTATAAAACATTCCAAATTTCTAACTTTCTAAACCTAACTATTAAAAATGCTGTAATGGAGTAAACATATACAAATCACACTACTAAAAAGCAAATGATTCTATACAAAATTTATAATTTAAAAAATTTATATAAACTATTGCTTAGCGGTGACATCTGAAAATTTAAATTTTGTGGGCTCACTCCGAAGACAAATATTTAGTTTTAAAGTGCTTATGAATTGATTTTATGGTTTGGTTCATATGTACAGATCCGCCATAGATTTTCTATTACCATTGTTTCGAAAGCCTTTACAGATTAAAGGGTTTTCTGCACTAAAAGAGTCATGCAATAATAACTCAACAATAACTCCTAGATCACTAATTACAATTTTCTAAAACTCTCTATGGACTTCTAGAAACTTCAATTAAACATATATTAAGTTTGGATTGTGTTTTTGTGTGATGCTACCGATACTTTAATTATCATTCTTAAAGCCAAAGCTAAGGTTAAATGCAAATAAAATGAGTAAAATGTGTAGCATAATGGTATCATCAGCAATTACAATGTAAACATATCAGTTGAACATGTTGCATGTAATGCCTTTTTCGAGTATTTGTTAAACAATAGTAAGAATTTTAAATGCCATTTTGTAATTTTGTTTGCATTAAAAGAAGTTTCAGACCATTATGTGGAAAATCAATTATGAACTCATATTTACTCCATTAAATCACTTTCACTATTCCAGGTTAAGCTACAAATTTTCGAATTGTATTTATAAATGTTTCATAATAAATATTTTTTGTTTTCTAAAGCAATCAGTTTTTTTATTATTATTATTACTGCTATTATTCTTTCTAAGGAAAACTGTTTGTTAAATTTTTATCAAATGAAGTGAAAAAGTTTCTGATATATAAGAGATATTACACAAAATATTTTATTTTGTGTAATATCTCTTTCAAGAAGAACAATACTCGTTTATTCCTTAGCAGTTTTATCATATTAATTTTAGCAATAAAATTATAAAGATTATGATAAAATTGCCAGATAATAAATTTATTACGAAAGAGAATAACGACAAAACTGGATAATTCAGCCTTTAATATCTAGAAAAAAACAAAAAATATTAGTGAATAAATGTTTTAAATATTAAAACTATTATTATGAAAAGCAGGATATTGTAAGATTAATAATTGTAGTAAATGTTCTTTCGTATTTTTAAAATCGAATACTGTATATAATTGGTTTACATTTGATATTACATATATTTTTAAATGCTGTTAATATGCATATGATTCAAAGCTTAAAAATTTATTTTAATAATAATATTAGATTAATTTTTCTCTCTTAGTTGCAGCTATTTAATTAAAAGCTCATAAATTAGTGAACGTAAAATAAATAAAATTTTAAAATTATAATTTGGTTTTCCAACACTGAAGTTTATTAAAAATAAAGTCATCTGAAGCTTTTATTTGAATTTTTTTTTTTATTTTTACACGTAATACAGAGATGTAGCAAGATAGCTTATGCTCTAAAGGATGTTATAATATCCTAACAGATAGTAAATTAAAAAATTGTCAGCAAAAAGCATAAAATCTATTAATATTGAATGAGAGAAAGAATTGAGAGGGAATTGATAAATTTATATACAAACACTATGAATTGTATGAGAAGTGCTTGAACCTAGGAAAAATGTGGCTAAAGTGGATGAATATTTGAAGAGAAAGAAGGAATTATGACATGAAAGAAATTCCTATTTCAAGGATAAATTAAAATCTTCCATATGGTTGATGCAAATTCCAAGATTGGAATGATGCATGATGTTATCTATGCATTAATATTGAAATTATTAAAAGGTTGCTGCTTTAATTATCATTTGTACATGCTCTTAAAACTCACACAGTTATATATATATAGGCTATATATTGTCTCCTAACACTGAAAATCCATAATATGCTTCTTTTGGTGAATGCCAAAAAAGTATTGACATCGAGTTTGGTATTATACTGAACTTGCTGATAAGGGGAACCTGGGAAGTTGTCATCACCGATTTTGATTAAATTTTGTGGACGAGTAGTATTTACTTGTACTTAAACGCCACCAAAGCTGCAGGATTCATTATTCAGGTATTCTCAAGAAAATCGTGATTAAAGTTTTTCTAGAACTATTAATAATGGTTCGGTGCACAATGCACAAATAATCATTGCTACTTCATTTGCATAATCTTTACATTTTGTTTTAATAAAAGGCTGGAAAACAAACTTCATTAATGTTTTTGAAATTATTTCTTTCACATATTATTTGAGACAAAAACAATGCATATTTTAACATGTCACAAAAACTGGTGTGCTCAACTTGTTGTGAATTAGTGTATTTTAATAGCATCTTCACAACTGGCTATTTCTCTATTGGTTTTAAGGAGATAACTATAGCACACTAGTGCTCATTAATGCCTTAGGAATATCCATATCTCACAAACCAAACATAGTATAAGTCTTCTATAAATATTTATTTGGCATGCTTAATGGTTTTATTTATACTGTCCATCATTGGGTTCACTGGTGAATGAAAAGAGAGAATCCTAGCTGTCAACTTTGGTCGGTTTCTCTTTCTACATCAAAGGGACTCTCCCAATGAACTCCAGTGGTGCCTTGACCTCTCCAGGCAGAAAGCATAATCATCTTTGTCTAGTTTTCTTTCCTGAATAGATTAGGAAAGAAAACTTGACCTATCTACTTACTAATATATTATATACATTATATATATATTTTTTACTGCAAAGAGCATTTTTGGTGTTGACTTGCTTATTATAGTATCTTCCGATCCTTACATATGAATTGTAATTTAGTAAATGTATTGATATGTGTAGTATGAGAGCCTACATTACATTAAAATGTTATTATAATGTATTTATATGTATTTTCTAAATTTGGAGAGATCAAATTAATAAATAAATTTTCAACGACTTTAAAAACTACACATAACACTGTACAAACAACTAATCATGCTACACCATTAACATGTAAATGATGTTTTTGCATAGGTATTAATATAATGTTCTAGAAAAACTTTAATTGCGATTTTCTCGAGAATGTCTGAATAGAGGGTCCTGCGGCTTTGGCAGAGTTTAAGTACAAATAAATACTACGTGTTCGCAAGATTTTGTCAAAACTGGTGATGACAATCTCCTGTGTTTCCTTGTGAGCCATTCTTGCACAGAGGGGTGCCAGATAAACAGTAGAGTATAGGTTTATAAGCTGTCTAAAAACAATGAATGATGTAACCTCTCATCCTTTGGTACTGATTTTTTGGAGGAAGATGGCATTTTGGGCAAACAGTATAATATGCTGACATTTAATTCTGTATACAGAAATGAAACAAGTAAACAGAAAAGCAGGATGTGTGACATGACTAATATTTTTATGGAAATAAAAATGCATAGGCAATCACACTTTAAGATTATGCAGATAATTGAGATGCTGGATTAACAAGAGAGTACTGTATGTGAGAAATATTAAAAATACTTTTATTTGAGATTTAGATCTTATTAGCAATAATAAAAAATTAGAATTATATCTTTGAGACAAAATTGAATTAAAATGATGTGAAATGTGCTATTTATTACTGAATATGAAATTTTAAATATTTATAAAAAATTTGAGTTTGAATACGAGTTTTTAATTTACCTTAATTACCGACAAAAATACTTTAAAATTATATTAACAAGTGCAATTATTTTTTTTTAGAGAAAATCCAAAACGAGTTTTTGAATGTTTCTGTGAAGTAGTCATTCCATCTTCTAGTAATGAAAGTAAGTATATAATAATTTTCAGAAGTTATTATAAAATTGCATAAATATAAAATATTCTTATTTTTTAATAATATATTAAGATAATAAAATTTCATGTTAATAAAAGAAAAAATATATCTTTATCATATTGAGATAATATACTTAACTTCTTATTGACGAGATAATACATAGGAATAGTCTGTTAATAAGATTGTCATTCAGATAGCTCTGTTTACTCTAAACTATTTGATTGGAAGTTTATATAGTTACAATTTATAATTCATACGTATATAAATCTTTAAGAAGATTAAATATTGGAAATATGCACTTTTGTTATTTGTTTTGATTCATCTGAATTCATGTGATCAGAATGGTTTAGGAATTTTTAATTTTTAAATATGGCTTGAAGAGAAATATGATGGGATTCTTTTTAAAATGCTTGAAACTATCTTGATCTGTTTTTACAGGAATAATAATCTTCATGAAGTTATTTTTGACATTATATTTTTGTCTGTTTTAAAGATATAAAATTAATTCCATATGGAATGTTCACTAATAAATCAAAGGTAAATTAATTTTTTTATACAAACATCTGTAAACCCGATATATTTGTAATAAGCCAAACGACTCCAGATAACTTCGGACTACTTTCCATGATCATATTTAATTAATTTCTAAATAATTTGTCCTAGAGGGCAGCATTAGGTGCCATCTCATATTAAATTTAATAGTAAAAATTATTTAATTAAATTATAATTATTTTGGAAGAAAAGAATTGACCTGGAGCAGGACTTTAACCCACAACTCCTGTTTACCATGTGGATGTGTTGCCAATTACACAACTTGAGACTCCAGTCCAATTTCCTTTTCCAGATATATTTAAGTATGTTATAACCATCCTCGGTTACATATGGTGCTGACTGGGGACACCTTTAGTGTCCATGTCNAATGTATTTTTTTTTTTTTTTACTTTCTTGGATGTTATATATAACAGAGGGAAAGTATGCTGATCGGTCAAAAAATGACTCCCTCGTTTTTACATTTTTGGACTTAGGAGCAAGAAATGCAAAAAAAAAAATTTGGGGGGTTTTTTTCTGTATGTGTGTGGGGGACATGATTTCATTTATCCTGTTTGAAGCTTAATAACTTCTGTACTTTTCGTAAAAATTTCTGAAATTTTTCAGGGGAACTTTGTTTATTATGGAATTGATGCTATTGAATTTTGGTGATCAAAGGTTGAGGGAATGGGGAGATAAAGGGGGTCATGTGTATCTCCATTAGGGTCTAACTTAACGACAGTTTTACTTGTTATTAGCATTTATAATCTTTTTCATAAAACTCATCCTCAAAATTAAGTTTTTTGCTATTTTATAATAGTTAAAAATATAAAGTCTTTAATAAAATTTCATAACAGATGGTATTACCAAATGCTCCAGGAAGGTTAACCTTTGTACAGTGGGTTAGTCAGCTATGGTGCTATTACAATGTAGTGGAGAATAAATGTGGGAAATTTTTAAAGAATTTTTCCATGCGTTTTTCTCGTTACCGTTTCAGAAAAAATTTTTTAAAGTTATATCTAATAAAGAAAAATCTTTTTTATTGTCAAATAATTCCTTCTTTATGTGAATTTTTTCGCCGTGGTTTTTGGTTAGTTATCGTCGATATCCGCAAAATTCTTTTGCGGATATAGATGATGTTCTCCAGTATCATTTGATTTCTATGTTTTACAGTACAGTAAAATTAAATCATTTTTCTATATTCACATTTTATTTTACTTTTTAAATTATTCAGTGTTTTAGTTTTCAACATAATAAATAAGAAAAAAAATATAAAAGTGATGAATGATGATAAAAGATGGAAAAGATAATAGATTTAGGAACAAAACTAATAATAATACATGAAATGGTAAAAACATTGGCAAGTATGGAGAATGATTTTATATTTATTCTGTTGTAGAATCTTCATCAGTTTAAGAGAAACAAATCACAAGAAAATAACTATCAGTTATATATTTGGTCCCTTCAAATGAAACAGAATGTAATAGCAACACAGTAATATTGTGGGAGAGTAGATTGCTGCTGTACAGGGGGACGGGGTGGGGTGTACAGTACCTCTGAATGAGTGAGCAAGTTGTTCAGTAATTGCGTATACTGTTGTTAATCCGTTCATGTACAGTACCCATACTATAAATCATATTCTTGCATTGGATGTCTGAGTCTATGTTTCATTTGATAGAACCAAATATTTTCTGTTGTGTATATATAAAAATAGAAGAAATGGATAATTGACAGATACAATATAAGTATATATTTATACAGAAATAAATTATGTTGCAGATTAAAGAGATTATGTCTTTTGAGAATTAATTGAAAAATATTTTGAATTATTATTTTAATGTTAAAGCTTTAAGTTAAATTAACTAACTATATATCTATTCACCAAAAACCTTTTATTAATTAGCTATAATTTAAATTTAAATTAAGTCTGAATTTTGTAAGTTATATGTTTGATTTTGTAAAATTATGTTAAAATTAAGTACAAATTTATAAACGTAAATTATTACGTATGTATGTAAATTCATAACTGTGTAAAAATTATAATTATATTAAAATTATGACATCAATTAAATTAAATTTTTATATGATCATAAAAAAACTGATCATTTTTAAATTACTTTATATAATTTATTGTAAGTTGAGCAATATTAGAAGTTTAAAAAGTTGTTTAATGTCATTAAATTAATGTTAAATTTAGAATGAAGCAGTCAGGTATTTCTTTCAAGTTGATTTAGTACAAGGACAACAAGAGTTTATACATTGATGAATACAGTTTACTTAAAATAAGCATTTTTAATTGAATAGTAAAATTAAATAAACAAAATTAAATGAAAAATTACAATGAATTAATATTCGTTTAATCAAATACTAATCAATTATAATCGTTCACTTAATTTTGTTTCATTAAATCTTATTTTAAGTTTATTTTTTATCATTTTATCATCTCATTTTTACTAAAAAAAATGTATATTTTCATTATTTAGCATTTCCTATGAATTGAATCTGCAATTATTTAGAATAAAATATGTTTGTAAACACAAAAAAATTAAATATCACTTATACAGATTTTATTGTATAAGCAATATAATTTAATTTCAAGAATTAAATGAAGAATAAAAAATTCTCCATTAATTGGATTTTTTTAAATTAATTTATTAAATTAATAATGTATAATGTAGTCCTTAAGTCATTTAACCATTGTAAAAGTTAAATTGGGATCTTATTTATATTATTGCTTAAAAGCACTTAAGTCATATACAGAGTTAATCGAGTTTAGAGTCACTCTGTAATTAATTAAATTAATAATAATTAACTATCGTTTACTTAAGCAGTTTTTGTTATGCTTAATTTTTTAATATAAAATTAACTATTTTTATCCGTTCAGATTGAATAAAATTATTTAAATATTAATTAAAGTTCAGACTAAAGCTTTAAGTGACATTTTGCCAATATTTCTATTCTGAGAAGGTTACTTTATTTTAAGAGTATTGTGATTTAAATCATTTTATTCATTTATTTAGAATACTTGTGAAATAGTGATACGTGTTAGAATTGAATTCGTGATCTTCCCCTAATCAGTTGATTTAAGAGGGGGGAAGTGATTTTTGAAATGGTCATTTGTAGTATGTCTGATATGATATATAAGTCAAAATATTTATGTAGAAATGTATTTTTTTTTTTTTTACTTTCTTGGATGTTATATATAACAGAGGGAAAGTATGCTGATCGGTCAAAAAATGACTCCCTCGTTTTTACATTTTTGGACTTAGGAGCAAGAAATGCAAAAAAAAAAATTTGGGGGGTTTTTTTCTGTATGTGTGTGGGGGACATGATTTCATTTATCCTGTTTGAAGCTTAATAACTTCTGTACTTTTCGTAAAAATTTCTGAAATTTTTCAGGGGAACTTTGTTTATTATGGAATTGATGCTATTGAATTTTGGTGATCAAAGGTTGAGGGAATGGGGAGATAAAGGGGGTCATGTGTATCTCCATTAGGGTCTAACTTAACGACAGTTTTACTTGTTATTAGCATTTATAATCTTTTTCATAAAACTCATCCTCAAAATTAAGTTTTTTGCTATTTTATAATAGTTAAAAATATAAAGTCTTTAATAAAATTTCATAACAGATGGTATTACCAAATGCTCCAGGAAGGTTAACCTTTGTACAGTGGGTTAGTCAGCTATGGTGCTATTACAATGTAGTGGAGAATAAATGTGGGAAATTTTTAAAGAATTTTTCCATGCGTTTTTCTCGTTACCGTTTCAGAAAAAATTTTTTAAAGTTATATCTAATAAAGAAAAATCTTTTTTATTGTCAAATAATTCCTTCTTTATGTGAATTTTTTCGCCGTGGTTTTTGGTTAGTTATCGTCGATATCCGCAAAATTCTTTTGCGGATATAGATGATGTTCTCCAGTATCACATGATCGCCCTTGACGGGCATATCCGTCGATCACTGCAGAGTGGTTAAGCAACTCGTTTCTGGATTTTTTTATTAATATACTTGAGGTGTATTTCTGTTAATGTAGTACTCAAATTATAGTTACTAATTACAAAATTTACATTATTGATTTTGCAAAACGACATATTAATTTTATTATTATAAATAAATAAATCCATAAAGTATTTTTCACAAAATATTTTCATTATTAATTTTTATTAAATATTCTATTATAAAATTAACAATTATTATTGTCATAATTTTATGATATTTTTATAATTCTCTAAATAAGTGCAGTAATTACTTTTTTAAACCTTTAGAATTTAAATTATTTAAATATTTTATTTTGAAATAAATTTTTAGATTGCTGGATTTTGCAGAAGTTTCCTGATTCTTACAATAACGAGGTAAAGAAAAAAATATTTTTAAAGATTTAATCTATACATTTATTTTCTCAATGCATTTTAAGACTAAAATACTCTACATAAATAATTTTTTTTTTTTTTGTATTCTATTTTATTTATTCATTACATTTTTAACAAATATATAAAATTAATACAATTAATCTCTTAGTAAACATACACAGTACAATCTCAGGAAACTGGATTACTTGCTAGACTGGCACAGCCAGTAATATGGCTTAAGTGTCTTGTCTGTTGCATTTCTGTCCGCACTGGGACAGCAACAGGTCTGAACATTTTTTTAATGTACATACATCATGTGTTACATACACTAGATAGACTTAGTATGAAGAGTATTGGAGTTATAGAAAAAGACCGTAAATACTAAAACAGAGTTGATACTTTTATTCTAGATTAAATGCTTTTTAAGACATCAGTGTCTCATCATCAGATCCAAAACTTAGAAGAACATTGAATTCAAATAAAACTGGCGTTTTAAGAATATTCTAATTATATTGAAGAAATTTCACAACAATAATTAACATTATTAGAATATTAAGAATATTATTCTTAGACATCAGGTTTATTTGATAAATAATAAATATTAGATGATTGAGACACTTAATATTTGAAGACATAAATTTTAATTAAATTTATAGAATATAACAGCCAGAAAGTAAATTGTAATAGTGTAAATAAGTAATCAAAAACTTGCAAACACTGTAGAACAATATTACTTGTAGTGTATAGTTAAGTAATCTGACCGTAGCAGTATATAATTTCTAATTCTCTTTCATTGAACTAATTTGTTTTCCGAACTTGAAGAAGAATGTGTAACTAAAATATACTTTTATGTTTTAGTTTTTTTAGTCCATAGAGTCCATACATCATTTTTGAATCAAAATTGGTATTTTAAAGTGGAGTTCTGATTTGAAAAGTTTTATAAAATAATATATAAATTTTTATATTGAAACTATAAATAGAAAATCACTCAGTAGAGATGGTGCTTATGAATACCATAATTTTCCTTTAAAATTTAAAATGCATGATGTACAGATATATAAGGTTGTCAAGGTAAATCCAGAATTTCTTCGCAGGCAATCTTAAGCAGTCTTGGAGATAAAACTATTGACAAAAATACACGCATGCATCAAGTCACTCAAGAGGAAAGCACCAACCAGTCAACAACTGGGACCTGCTTCGATATGTTGCAAGAATATGATCAGAGAGCTGCAATACTGGAAATTCATCTTCACAAACTGTGACTCAGTTTGGCTATAAGAAAACACAAGTTTATGATTTAGCTAAGAAATTCAGGGAGTCTGACAACAAGGAAAATGTGACCCCTGATAGAGTAACTCACAGTATTTGTTCTGATCACTAGAGAAATGTGGGATTCATAGCCAAATTGAAGATGATTAAAAAGGATAGTTTGCATGAAGCAAGAGTGACCTTGCAAAAGAAATGGACATGCTGAGGTTGACAATTGGTATGTCAGTGTATGAGGACCTGCAATACTATTGTTTTGTCTTCAGGAGTCTCCAGCTCTTGACAGAAGAACAAGAAGGACTGAAAACTGAATGCTCTGCTGAATGACATCATGACAGTGCTGACTTTCTGAGGTTCATCTTGGATGAGAACTTTGTCCAGTATAGGAAGGTGAATCACCAAAATACTGCTGGATGCCAAAATGCCTCTGATGTGCCTACTGTCATGAAAATTTTTCTTTATTTTTGTTTGTTTTAAAATGTTACAATAATGAGAAGCTAGATTTAATAAATTTCTCACACATTTTAAAAGTAGTCTATGTTTCTGACGGCTTCCATACAAATGGATTCAGAAATGGATAGCTATTTACATAATAATATAAAGATATACACATTTTTTTGATGATACCAAATCCAGTAATCGTCATTGACTTTATACAATATTTCAAGTAAAGAATAGTAATTATCATTATATAAAATGAGAGAAGTTAATGAATTATAAAACTAAAACAAGGCTCAACTATGCTTACTAACTCTGAAACAAGTAGTCACTTCATAGCTTTTCTCCAAAAACTATGAAGTGACTACTTGTTTTTGTTTTTTCAGCAAGCTGTCTTTATATTTATGCCTAAATAAGAAAAGGTATACAAATAGGATGTGATAATAGAATATGATTGTGATAATACGCAATAATAGAAGATTGCAAATAATACAATCTTGTAAGATATTTTACTTCATAATGCTTGCTTCTACTTCTCAGGAAAAGTTGCCTTGACCAACATGTACGGTACAGTGTGAGACATATTTAGCCATGTTGGCTATATTCTTATTACAGAAAATAGTTAGTTTGTGATATTTTTGCCATAAGTAATGTATAAAACTGATTCGAGAGATTAAAACTATTAAATTTATTATTTAATACAGGATACTAAATTCATATTCAGTTTACTGTATTGGATGACCATGTAACTGTATAGGATAATCACTTCTGTTCTGATTGAGAATGTCCACGGTATTTCAAAGTTCTCTGCTGACTTTCAATCATTACATCATCAAGATATACAGGGGGTTTCAAAAATGCATGTAAAAAAATGGAGGGATTGTAGAGAAGTTAATTTCAAGTCAAGAACTTATTGCCAGTTTTTGATTCGAAGTGTTCTTTTTGTGTTGTTACAATCACATAACTAGGCAAAAAAAAACTCTTTGAAAATTCAGTTTTATTCACAAAACATTAAGAAAGCTTGCATAGCCAATGTTTTATTGATTGAGACCCAGTTTTATTTAATCAACGTCTGGTTTATGTGGGACATTTTGTAGTATAATTGTAGCCTGTAAATAATCCAGCTTTAAGTCTTTTACTAATTTGAATATTAGTGTATGGTTTATATTTGTGCATGTATATTTATACACACAATTCCAGGCAAATAAACTTTGTGATACCATGAGTTGGTTATTCTTGTTAATGCCCTGCTATGATTTGCAAAAAACACTTAAATCTTGAACATTAATATATCACAGACATTTGAAATTTATTTCTAATATTGTCAAGTCTACTCTGTGCAAGTAAACTTTTTTGTTTTATCATTCTGTATATTTAACTTATAAATAAATTTTGAAATAAGAAATTTTTAATTTTTTTACAATGTGCATTGAAAATTAATTTATTATATGAATTACAGGAAATGTTGAAGTCCATAATTGAATTTTCTTATCCTTGTGAATTTACAAAGTAAGTCATTTTAAAGCTTTATATTTTTATTATGCAATTATATATATATATATATATATATATACGTTTACTTCATTAAAAGTTCTTTTTGATAATTTAAAGTCACTTAAAAGTCAATTAACCAAGAAGTTCTTTGTTAACTACTTCAAAAAGTTTCAGTAATGGTCAAAAGACCTTAATGTTTAATTAAGCTATAAAAAAATTGATTTAATACTGTAATTTCGTAATAATTAATATACTTTTTCTAATGATTTCTTCAATTCAACAGAAACATTTTGAAAAATCAGTTTCTTTTAGAGATTGAAAATAGTTTCTTTGATACATCTTACACAAATTCTATTGATTCAAATGATTTTTCTTTAATATTGGAGCTAGTTTTTTAAAAGTGGTTCTGCAACCATTCTATTCTCCTGATCTAGCTTCTAGACTGGATTTCTGAGTGGTTAAAGTGGCAGTCTACTTCTTTGGGGGACCCGGGATCAAATCTGGATGGTCAAAAATCCCCAGAAATTTTTTGGGGGTGGTCCGTATGGATATATTGGGCCTCATATCTCACCACTCAGCTCACCCATTGCGGGCCTGGCCAAATCCATAATGGTATTACTAAAAAGTAGGCACTCTTAGTGCTCACAGGCTAGAAAGAAGTTTAAAAAAAAAGATCTAGCTACTAATGACTTTTTACTCAAAATTAAAAAGACAAAAAAAAAAGTTAAGAGGAAACTAGATTAAACTGATAGAATCTTATACAAGATAAATTGAAGAAAATGCTACAATTCCTTAAACTCATTTACCTAAATGTTTCTGAAATTATTGGAGAAAGTGTACATTGAAGCTCTGTGATTATTTTGCAAAAACTGATGCATTTCTTTGATAACTGTTGTATTAGGATAAAAACTACTTACATGTAGGGAACTCCTTCAAAAAATAAACGTGCATAAATAATGCACAGAATCGTAAAAGGTCAATACTTAATAACACATTACACCAAAGGTTTGCTTCTGTCTTTAAGCTGTTTTTCATTATTTGATTCCTAATCAGATAAATATAAACTCAAAAGTGGTGGGGATTGAATGCACTCTCTACAGGAACTGACTTTTATACATAGTAATCATATCGAAAATAAGTAATATTCTATGAAAAAACTTGTCATTTATTTTTTTTTTATCAGTATATTTTGAGAAAAATAAACTTACAGCACAAAATAAGTTACGTGTCTTCTATATTTCAAGAACTTCAGATATTAGAATTACTGACCCCAGTTTGGGAACATTATCCTTACATGTTTTTCATTTTTTTGATTCATCTGGAAGTTTTTAGAACGCATCTTGTAAGTCTTAGTAAATTGTAAATCTTGTCAAATTTGAAAATAGAAATATATATATATGTTCGAAATGCGGAAAAGCTTTCGGTTTTCCATCAAAATTAAAAGAACACGAGATTACTCATTCTGACGATAAAAATTATATTTGTTCCCAATGTCCGAAACGATATAAACATGAGAAGAGCTTAAAAAGACATACCAAACAAAGCCATCAAATAGTAATGGTAGGTAATACTATTTACAAAAAATAAAGACCATTTACAAAAAATATTATATATTTTTGAGTCTATCTTTTAACAATAATACTTATCATCTGCACATCGGATTTAACAAAATATCACGTACCTTAGAACCTTTAACCGATGCAAAATAAAAATTTAATAGTACAAACGTTTTCAGACCCCTCCTGGGTCCATCTTCAGGCAAAAAATCGTTTGAAGATTACCGAAGTACGAAAAATATTCGTTTAGAACGATTTTTTAAAACCGAAAAGATAGAACGGAATCACGTGATCTATATCTGTGAACGTCATATCTTCTACGTCATATCTACAGATATTTAANACAAAGATGTAAGAATTCTTAATGTTTATGTAATTTTATATGTTTTAAAATGTTTTTTATATGTTAAATTCGTATTTAAATTTATAATTAATATGTAAATATTCAATTCTTGTAAACATTATGGTGGTTAAACCAAATGAAAGGTTCAATATATTCTGTATTAGTTTAAAATTAATTTCAGTTTATTTTTATGTTAACGTTAAGTTTAATTAAAAGTTTTAACATGAAAATAGAGCATCATATTGAAAACAAAAACTGAATATACTGTTTAAGGAAGCAAAATATAAATTAATTTTAATTAGTAAAATTTTTGTATCTATTATTCTGAACATCTTCAATTGACAAATGAATTGAATGATGTGTAACAAAAGATTTAATTAAATATATTTTCGGCTTCCTTAGTTAAGCAGTTCATTTAATTTTGCTAAGTTTTAACAGAACTTATTATAAACTATGAACAAAGCTTAGAAGAATAATAATTCTTTAAAATTGAACAATATTTTAAAGTGAAGCAGCTGTTAAGGATGATGAAAAATAAGCGTTTTTATCACATGATTGAAATGAAAGCTCTGTTGTATTGAATTGGAATTAAAGATAGAGCTTTGTTTCTTCCTCTTTATTCATTAAATTTAATATCAATTAAATGTAATCATCACTTTCAGATGATGAAAATACTGGTACAATACTTAGATTAAATTCAGTTGTAGAAAATTGGTCATTTGGACAAGATTTTTATAAGATTAGTCTTTTGAGACTTGTTTGACTCATTAATACTTATCTAAAATATGTTGCATGGTGCTGATAACATAAAGAATAACAATACATGTCAAAATGCTCATTAATGCACATTGTCTAACCTTAATTTGAAGTTTGTAACATTGCATGACAGTTTGACAGTATGCATTAATGCCAATACTATGTTTGTGCACTAACAAGGAGAATATCGCTACATGCAAGTTCTGTAATACTTAGAGTAGTAACATTTATTTAGTAGTTAAACACATGCTATTTACCTACTTAAGAGGATATTTCTCTATGGTCGATATTTCTATTTTTTCATAAGAAAATAAAACATGGACTATTTGACAAGCAGAGTGAAGGTGTAGAGCTGATTAGCAGTGACGTCATTGTGTTGTAACACTATGAAATTACGGCTAATTAGCTTCACACCTTCATAAACTTGATTGTTTCTGTTTCTTTACGTTTCTTGGACCTGGAGTCAATTAATTAGTAAGTAATCATTAACATAACCCAAAGATAGCTTGATAATTTGGCTGATCATTCGGCATCAACAAAAGATAAAATAAGTGATTACAAAATAGAATATTAAAATGCATTTATTCAAACATGCATGTAATCTTTTACATTATTTCTCTTGTTCTATATTTAGAACAAAAAGTTTAATTTGTTCAGTTTAAATCATTGGCTATTTAATTGTATTTAATTCCTGGATTAATGATTCTTGTTTACTTCGGTAACATTACATCAAATCGGATGTGCCTTTTTAAATTTTTCTGTTATAGTTTAATCTAATTATAAGATTATACATAATGTTGTAAACTGCAATATTATTAATATAAAATTATAAATTTATTTTAGCCAGGAGATCTTTGGAAATTTCTTCAAGCTTTATATAACGTAGAAATCCCAGAACCTGGAATGAAACTTCATGTTGCTTATAATCAGGGTAAAAGTGTAAGTTACATAAAAATAAATGAAGTTTTTAAAAATAAATAATTATTGTATAAATTTTTAAAATAATTTTTTACATGATCAGAATATCTTAAAGTTTAATTGAATTTAAATATTCTGGAAATATAGTGATACCTTGGTTTACATGATATTGATTTATGTAATTTTTAGACTAATGAGATGAGATTGTACTTTTACTTGCAATTTTTTGTGATCTCTCTTGCATTCAGAGATTTGTTGTTTTGAAATTAAAATGATTTTTTCTATAAAAATACATTTTATTTTAAAATTTTTAGATTATGTGATGCTAAGTACCAAGGATTTCCATTTACTTGACTTAAGGGAGCATTATGTTTTTTTGAAGTTAATCATGTAGATTGAGACACCAATGTGTGTTAAAATGCAGAATTTTCATAATCTTGAATATATTATTCAAACATTATATCATCCTCAAGTTTATCATATAGGATTCTGAAATTTATTCCTGTAAACATTGATAAAAAACTGATGTTCTTATACCTATGTATCAAAGGTTCTTAATTCAACATTTTTAATATTTTTTTCTGTAAAAAAGTTTTACATAAAAAATAATTTAAATTTCGAATTTATCATTAATTAGTTAATATATTAGTTACAGCAAAGTTTGTTTCTTAGAGCCGCTGCAAACTACAGCTTTGTGAGAGCAAGACACTAGCAAACGTGTGCTAGCACACCCAATGATGTCAAAGCTCTTTCTATGCATCCTTTCTTTCCTCACTCCTTTCTATGCACCTGTGCAGTTATCTCTTTGCTAGTGCAGTGATATGAGTGTACACTCTTGACCGAATTCAACAGTGAGTATATGCTCATATCACTGCACTAGCAAAGGAATATTTGCATAGGTGCAAAAAAAGGAGTGGGGCCTTTAATGTCATTGGGTGTTCTAGCACATGTTTGCTAGTGTTTTGCTCTCGCAAAGGTGTAGTTTGTGATGGCTCTCAGGCCATACAGGCACTCTTGCTTAGCATTTTTCTGCTTAATGTTTTCCTAATAGAGTGTCTTTTGACTTTTAACATTCAAACTTCATAGAATGTGCTTTTCTCTCAGTAAAATTTTTTCTGATTATTATATAAGAAAAATTTATATTTATTCCAGAAAATTCAACATATCATCTTTAACAAAATAATATACGTGATATCTTAAGTTACATTTCAAATACAATTGGTTAGGACATTACATTCATGTTTAGAGATTTCTGACTGTCAAGAAATATAATATGCATCTCAAATACAAACACAAAGTTGTGATGCATCTTCCAGTTCCATTTATCATACCAAGAGTTCCTATAACAAAATCTAAATATGCTTTTGTAATATTATGAGGGGTAGTTTGAAAATTGGAGAAGGCATCTTTCTGAGGGCAAGCGTTGCATCATTAATACGTGATGTTGCAGTGAAGTTTGTTTAAGCTAATTTAATATAAGTATGATAAATTATTGGTTTTTACTTATAACTGAATTTGACATGTTTATTTGTTAAAAATATTGGTAACTTTAGTTAAATGCTTAAATTATATTTCTGAAATGTGGAAAATGAAACTGTTGTGCTAGTTTATGGTGTATGCCCATTTGTGATGATAAACTTTTGCAAGGTAGAAAAAATATGACATTCTAACAATTAGAGAGATTTCCTAATGAAAAATGTTAAAAACATCATCTGTGAAATTTACCAATCGTTCAGTTTCTCTGTTGGTTACTCACGTGAAAATGTCTAACTTTGGACGTAGAGGATTTTTGGAGGAGGGCACCCATTCATTTAGAACTTCAGCCTAGTTCTTATAAGTCATTGGTTCCTTTAAAAATTAATTCCAAACCAGTTTCAGGACTTTTTTTGATCAGCTTAATTCCTTGTTAATTTCACATACAATGAAGAGAAAAGTTTAAGACCATTCTCTCTCTCTCTTCCTCCCTCTCTTTCTATAAACTCTTAAAGATATTTTGTTTTAGATATGATATTTTAGCTTTGTTACTAGTGCAATATCAAGGTTTTTCTTTGTAATTATTGTGAATTACAAGTTCACTTTTATGCACATTATTATTCTGTAAAATATAAATGTTTTTACTTTGCCGTGCAGGATTATGATTTGTCTGTGGTTTGAATGTCTTTTGGTAATGTGTGTATGCAAATAGTTTAGAGTTATTGCAACTAGTTTTGATGTGTATATTTTGGGTATTTGTTATTTCTGTGTGAGATTTAATGAGGAAATAAGTTGTGGATGTGTTAATTAATTCTGTATTTATAATGCCAGTTGTAATTGTTTATTTTTATTGATATTGTACTAGGTACATTTTCATGAATGACTGTTGTATCAATGACTTTCTTATTTTCTGTGTAATGTAGTATATGTGTTTGTTGATACATCTGCAATGTATTGTTTGATATGTTCAAGTATTGTGTGTGCACTAGCATTATTGTGTAAAATTGTTCTTTTCTGATCAACGGCCTCCTTTCTGTAACAGTTAGATGTGGATATTTTTGTATGAATTTGTCATTTAGTGTCTGTTTGTTGCCATATTTGTTTGTTTGTTTTTTTTTGTGATAGTGTAGTAGATACACATTATGAATTTCTTCATGTTTTGAGTCCATTTCATTTGTTTGTATAGTTTTTGGCCTTGTTAGTTAGTGATTAGATTACCATGAAGCATTTTGACTGGGTTAATGTGTATTATGCATTGTTTGTGAGTATATGTGTTTGTAATGAAGTAGTTACACTTGGACCAGTTCTGCATTTGCAACAGGTAGCCAAAGGAGAACATACTGTACATATTTTCAAATGTGAGTCTCTGCCTAATTTGTGAACCCTTGTTAACCTGAGTGGTGTCTGAGTCAGTATTACACTGAGAATATGTTGCAACCATTATTTTTTTTTTATAAAGAAGAGGGTAAGCTTAAAGTTAACTGTTTATAATTCTGTGGCTCCTATTATGTCGAACAAATACTTGACCACAGCTCCCACTTTGGGGGATGCTGCTTATGGATCAATTCTTGCTTCATTTCTCATTATAGACTTTACTGGAATGGATGGCATTGGAAGCTTATGTCCTTCCATGCATTGCTCTATGGTTTATTGAAACTACTAAGCTCTCTCTCTCATCTCAAGAATGTGGTGAATACCAAGAGTGTTATTATTAGAAAAAAAACCAAAATTACTGATTTTTTTTTTACAAAGATATTGCTATATAATTAACTTCAATTAAAAAAATTGTTATAATTAGAATAAACTACTTAAGCATCTATTGCATCAGTATAATCAATTTAAATACATTTCAGGATTTTATTGCTAGTACTCCAGATCATCATAAATTATCAAGCATTCCTGAAGATGTAAGTGATTTCAAATTGTATCATAAAAAAACTGTTAAGAAAATATTACAGCAATTTCATACTAAATGGAATATCTTTATATTTATTATCTTACAGAGGAATTTAACAGAATATTTCAGTGCTATAAGTGTCAATAATATGATGACTATATTTGCTAGGTTAGTTATAATTTATATGTTGTTGTATTCAATTAATAAATGATAAAAATCACATATTTTAATCTGTTCTTAAACATTTTAAGCTTGGTTATTTACTTCTGATAATATATTATCTTAAAATAATTAAATATTTTAAAATTTTCAAATAGAATATTTAATTATTAGGTGAATCTAATATAATAAAATTTCTTAAATTCTGTTTTATAATAAAATGATGTCTTTGCTAATTAATTTTCATTCTCATTTATAACTATTTTTAATGTATACCCTTAAAATTCTATTTAAATATATATAAGATGATTAAAAAATATTGCATATCTGCAATCTGTTTTAGTGGAGTAGATTTTACACATATATTGAAAATAGTTGCAAATACATAGAGACTCATTGAAGCTATGAACACACATCTTTTATTGTTTTAAAAAATTCTTGAGTAGACAATACATACAAGATGTGTCTTTCCATTCAGTCCTTTCAAACACACTTGAGGAAATAACAATTTGACAGTGGAGTTAACATTTTATTTGAGGCTATTTGTTCGCTTCCAAATGTAAAACAGCTAAAAATATCCTTCTGTCAGTGGCACAATCATAAAAATTAAATAAACGAGTAGCCTCAAATAAAAGAATGGCACTTGAGGAAATTGTTATTTCCTCAAGTGTGTTTGAAAGGGCTGAATGAAAAGACACATCTTGTATGTATTGTTTACTCAAATTTTTTGAAAAAGTTTTTGTAAATTTAAATTCGTCCTGGCTAATTTTTATGAAAACTTTTATTGTGTTACACTATTTTCATTAAAAGTAATCATCACATATAAATGTTAACATTTTTTGATGTGTGTTAATAAAAGATAATTAATAAGCACTCCAATAAATGTTAAGAAATTTGAGAACTGATTAATAAATGTAAAAGATGTGATGGGAAAGGAAATAAAAATAGTAAGTATATGGAACAAACATTTCTGTAATTCCTTGATACTTCCTTGATCGATACTTACCATGAATTTGAAATTGAATTTCAAGAATTTTTTTATGGAGGGAAACACTTTTAAATGCAGTTGAGTCTATGTAGTCTGTGAATAGTGCAGGTTATATAAATTTTATAGTGTATGAAATACATCTCAGACCACAGGTTTACACTTTCTTCAAATACTCTAAAACCCTCCAATTAGCTAACAAACAACTCTAAGCCAAGATTTGTGAAATGACCTGTATAAATAATAATTATAAATGTATGTAATATAATAATTATGATAATAATTATTATATTACATACATTTAATAATTATATTGTATGTAATATAATAATAATAATAATAATTATGATAATAATTATTATATTACATAATAATTATTATAATAATTATGATAAAATTCATTTCTTTCATTTAATGTAATTGTATATGAATAAAAATACAATGAATGAATTTGTATTTGAAATGATAACTGAATTGTAATTTTACTTTATTTCTTCCATTTTATTCAGAAAATTTTAATAATGGAACATTTATGAGATTAATTATTCCTTATAATATTATAGTATGTTAAATGAACGAAGAATATTATTTACTTCCAAGAAACTAAGCCAATTATCTGCCTGTGTTCAAGCCGCTAATACATTAATATATCCAATGTGTTGGTAATTAATATCTTAAGTTAAATTATAATGTTTTAAAAATAAGAAAATACTTAAAATTTTGAATATCTTCTTTTTAGGCAGCACATATTTATTCCAGTTTTGCCTAAGCACTTGCTTGATTATGTGAGGTGAGTATTACTGTTTGTTCATGTTTTAAGTTAAAAGTAATTTAATTTAGTTTAAATTTTAATAAAACTTAAAATATATAATAGTGCTCCAATGCCTTTCCTGATTGGCATACCATCTTCAACGATGTCAGTAAGTAGTTCTTTTTAAAACAATATTTTTAAAACATTGAACATTTATTTAATTGTATTTTCAAATAGTTTTATTAATGAAAATATTCTTTGTGTTGTTTTTATTGAGATAAGAATTTTAGTTCCAAAGCAATTTTTTCGATAAGGAGTAATGTAAAGTGAATTAATCTGTTTCTAAATCCCAGAAATACTCATTTTAATTCTAAAAAAAAATAATTATTTAAGCTAAAATAACATGAATAAATGTCTTAATTAATGCATAAAACAATGGAAATTATGATGATAGATTAAAAACAATGAAAAAAGTAAATAGTACAATAAAATACAGTAGATGAACTGTGCCAAGCTGGGCTCATTCATTATGTGTCTCAAACTCATATGAATGGATTTAGTAAAGTAACGGAGTTTTGTTGTAAGTGGCCCAAATAGTAGCCAATAGTCTAAAATAAAAATTATCTTGATCTAGCAACATTTTCACATCATGCATACTCGTACATATATCATACACTATACAGTATGGCTGTCTTTGTTTGAGTTTGAATTCAAAGAAAAGTTTAACTTTTTGGTAAAATTTTCTCAAAGAAATTGTTTTATTTCTAAGTTGTTTGACTTCTGGGCATTTGAGTTCCAAGTACCACTGTATATTTATTAATTAATGAATAAATAATTATTAAAGCTAGCTAACTTCAGTAGTACCCTGTTAGCAGATGACTGCCTGATAAGGTGTACCTACTACTGTGAAGTATCCAGGTTTGAATCTTAAATCCTTACAATTTATCTAGAATAGTATGAGTCGGGAAATAGTTTTCCATCTCTCATTATGCTGTTTCATCACATTGCAGATTAAACTTGCCTAAATTTGACATAATTGTGGACAGCCATAAAGCATACACTGCAGTCAGCTCTCACATTAAGTTAATTAATTAATAGTTTCTTACATATAGTTAGTTGTAAGTGGGCCCATAATTTTAATACTAATTTTTTTTATTTCACATTTGGAATATTACGTATAATAATTTTTTAATATAAATTTTTCAAATATTTGATAGATTACTTGTAAATCAAACATGAGTGATATTACACCAGGGTAAAGTAAACAACAAACCTACCGGGGAGCCTGTTACCGGTATGCTTCTCGGAACTTGACTTTAATTTGAATTGCATTCGTTTAACAGTCATTAGTTACCTGAAGAAGAACTTCCAAGTTCGAAAACGTTCGTAACGCTCTGTTTTTTTCTGAGAAACACACCTGTAACAAGCTTGCCGGTACATTTGTTGTTTAGATTACTTGTATTTATGTAATTTTATAAAAATTTATGATAAATTTCATATATATATATATA